CAGTGGTCGAAAAAATGTTGTCGCACCAAATTTTGACAAGTTTTGAAATTTTTTATTTAAATTGAGTTATTTTGTATAAAAATAGAGTTCATTCTTTAAGAAAAAACGTTTAAATCTAAGTTTCAAACTTTGTCCAATATTAAAAAAATCAACAAACTTTCGTAAAAATTTTGAGCTTTTTAATTCGATTTTCTAGAGAAATTTTGAGTATGCAGGATTATAGCCCACTCAATTCTAGTACAAAACAATGCAAGTTTCAAGTGTCCAAAAATTTTCGTTTTAGAATTTCTTTGCCGAAGGTCTTACGGTTTTTTCCATGTAAAATAAAGTGTGTTTATTCGTTAGTAAAAAAAAAAAAAAATTTTTAATCAACGGCATTTTTTAGCCATTTGAAACTTTATTATACTAGAATTGAACGAGCTACACAACTGCTTGCGGCTCATTCCACGGTGACGAGTGTGGCATCTCAAACTATATTTTTTTAAATCATTATGAAATGGAGGAAGCAAAAAAAAAATGACACCTAATTCCTCAAAATAAACAGTGTGAGTTGCGACTGCATGAACCAATGTCTTATCTTGTGATCGGCTGCATAATGGTTTTCAAACACTTAAAGCACAATGTCGACGAATGCTAAGTTCGAATTTCTAACTATCTTTGAATCAATCGAACCATACCCGTAAGAGAAATGTAAGCACGAAATATTTTGATTAAAATTTATTATACTCAGCAACTGTAGTTGGAACCGACAAGAATTTACAAACCTAACCTAATATATATATTTTTTAGCATAGAGACTATCTTGAACCTGGGAAACCAAACAAAATCATTTCCTATTTTCGGAAGATTTTTTCACGTTTAAAAAGTGACAGAGACAAACACAACAAAAAAATACACCTAAATGGGACGATCCATTCTATAGCGACGCTGAGTCTTTGTTTATATACATACATATATGGTCACGCTAGGTGGCGACAAGGTCGAGGTTTTGAAAATCTGTATTTATTTTTATTATTTATGATTTGTGTAAAATTTCGCATATTTAGTTGGTATATAGTAAGACATAGATTGGCCGTCAGTCGAAACCGGTGTACGGACGGTCGTCACTCCTTAGAGGGTGTCTTCCGTACGCATGCACTTGCCGCAAGTGCGGCTACATTCTTCACGTGGGTCATGTCTCTGGCTATAGTGCTGGCTCGTGGTAGGGATACCAACGATGCATCGATGTTTTTGGAACATCGATGATATCCGTTCAAAATTCGATGTTTGCCATCGATATTTACGTTTTTCTTATATCGCTAAATTGACGATACATCGATGTCAGTTTCAACGATGTTTTAAGCATCGAATTTAGTGAGACAAAAATTTCTTACTAACCATCCTTTGGTGCCCAATTTCGACAACGCTAGCCGAACACTTGTAAAAGGGCTGGCCACCCGTCTGCGACAAATATATGGTCCTATGATAGATATTACTCATTATACGGCCTCTCAGAATTTCAACTAAATCAGACCTTGTAAATTTAAGGCCCAACTATCTAGCACTTAGCTTTGATGGACTTGGGCAAAAAAAAAATAAAAATTTAAAACATTTTATACTGTATTCGCAAATATTTTTGTATTTTATGTGCGATATTTTTATGTGGGCCACTTAGCGTTTTATGATGCGCAAAGTGTTACGGATACACAGATGGGCACATTGAGTAAAGCAATACATACAAAGACGCAAATACCCAGCAGTATTTCTCTGAATATTCAGTACAGATGTAGTTCCAAAACCTGAATAGTCCCTTTCGTTTTTTTTTTTTTATAAAGGTGGCGCAAAAATAAAATTATCTACTAACTAACGACCGAGAAAGGAAAGTTTCACGACTTCGTGTGCACTTCACAGATGCTTTTTCGTAATAAATAAAACCCGGGAAAAAAAATTATGTTTATTTAGCCTGATGAGATTTGAACGTGGACACTCCTGGCAGCAACCAATTGTAGCAAGCATCTCTGCGCACTCAGCTACAGACACAAAATGTAAGCGTGCTTTCAAATGTTCACTTTGAATCAAGCCAAACTACGCGACTGGTTCATTTGAACAAATATTTTTTTTTTTTTGCTTTTTACCTAATGGAAATTATTTATTGCGCTGAACTCGTTCTCTATAAAAATTTCTAGAAAACACCATTCTGTCGAACAAACTTTTCACAAAATTTTTTTATTAAATTTAAATAGGCTTGCATACGTCACTGCGCGTCCTGCGAAAAGTTCAGAGAAAACTTCAGTAGCACTGAAAACTTCACTGCTTGTTCGGTACGTTCTTCAGGCATTGATTTCTAAACTGAGTTTCATGGCATTTTTCGTACTGAATATTGTAGTGAATTTGTATGCCCTCGCCTCAAATACTGCTGGGTACACACTTGTACACACCCGCACAGTAAGCATGTACATATTAAATACAAGTGAAAGGCAATCGCACTGTACGAGTATTTATAAGCGCCCACGCATGTCGAGTAAAATGGGGCTGCAAAATTTAGTAAATACTCACATACCTAAACTACACGTACCCTGCAGGAAGTAATGCTAGCTTAATTCTAGATTTAATATGTTTACGCTGACTATTTGCATGCTGTATATTTGGTTCGAAAAATGATAAACTATTGTGCTGTAGGTGGCCTCATATTCGGATTCCCCGCCAGACATAACAACAAAATGACAATATCAAATTTCGATCTTCATTTCATTTGTCCTAAATTCGAAAAAGCGTCTGTGAAGTGCAGAAAAAAGTTTATTCAAAGTAATTTGTGTGCAAGGATATTTAAACAGAAACTTGACTGCATAACTTTACAACTCACTTTAAGTTGGTTTTGTCATATAGCTTATT